TTTAAAATTCCCCCTTAGACATTTTTTATTTAAAAAGTTGGGTTATTAACGATTTGGGGGGGGATTTGGGCCTTTTTTGAAACGTTTGGGCCTTTTAAACCCCCCCTTAAAATTTTTTCCTTAAAACCCTTTTTTGGGCCTTGGGGGGAAAAAGGGTTTTTTTTTTTTTCCCCTTTTTGGGAGGGGGAAAAAGGGGGTTTTTTGAAAAAATTTCCCCCGGGGTTTGGGGGAAAAGTTTTTTAAAAATTTTTTTTTTTTTTGGGAAAAAAAAAAAAAATTGGTTAAAAGGGGAAAGGGGTTTTATATGGGGCCCTTTTAAAAAAAATTTAAAATCCCCGGTTTTAAAAAAAAAAAAAAAAAAAAAAAAAAAAAAAAAAAAAAAAAAAAAAAAAAAAAAAAAAGAGTAAAAGAAGAAGAAGAATAGATTAGAAGGGAGAAATAAGGACTAGTGGATGAATTGTGTTGAAAACTCGATCCATTGCCTCAAGGTAAAAGTGTTGACATGTGAATTTTGGAGAATCGAGTTTATTAAAGTCCCTAGAGGTGAATTCATTGTTTCAAACGCCTATCTTTCAATTTTTGGCGTAATCACCTAAATTCAAGAAAATTAGCCACACATTCCCATATTACCTACCTCGGACCAAAGAGCCTAACAATTGAAAGCCACAAAGCCCCAATGATCCCAATAGCTTATTGTTCAATATTAGTTGAGTAAAATAATTTGGTGAGTATTTGGAGTCAAATATATGCATGTAAGTATAAATTCTGTCTATCTTTAACTTGCAAATATTAGATACTTGAAGCAATTGTATGATTTGTGATTGTTGGTAATGGTGAGTGACTAAGTACCGTTGAATGTTAAACTTGCGAATACCTAGGAATTATCATCATAATTGCAAGTTCTGAAAACGCTAAGTTGACCCATCGATCTATGTAATGAGATGTATGGTTTTGTTTTGTGCTATTAATTTGATGTTACTTGAGGACAAGCAAAAGTTCAAGTTTGGGGGTGTGTTAAGTGTATATTTATACACTTAATTGTACCTTTTAATTGGAGCTTTTGATGTGTTTTTACGATAATTGGTGCTTAATTTGGTTATTATTTGTATTTTAGGGACAAATTGAAGAATTGGAAAAGTATGGGGTCAAAACTGCAATTTTGGAGAAAATATGGGCCAAAAGTGAAAAAATCAAAATTCTGAAGATTTAAAGCTCGGACCCCCGTCCCAGTTTTAGTGCAAATCGTGGGACCCCCGTCCGAGACTCCGAAATTGCGCAGAAAAGGGATTTTAATTGCACAAGGAAACTGCCTTCTTCCCCAAGTTCTTCACCCTATATAAGACCAAGTCAGACACACAATTAGGCATCATCTTTTTATCATCTATCTTTTATCTTTCATCTTTCTACACGCGAGCAAGAGAACGAAGACGAAGACTTGACGAATCTTCATCCGAGTTTTCCTTTTACTTTTATTCTTCGATTTTTATGAACTTTCATATTTTTATTATGCTTGTCGTTACGAACATGAGTAGCTAAGTTTTTATTCTAGGATTTTATTGGAACCCTATGTGGTGATTCGAACCTATTTTTCTACTTTTATGCAAGTTTAATTCTTCGATTATTTCTTCGATCTTGATCGTATTTAGTGCATGAGCGTAGCTAACTTATGTTGCTATTTGTTATTGTTAGAATTGATTGACAGATCGTTTTAATAATTAGAACAGGGATAGAAGAGCCTTCGAGTAGTTTTTCACCGAATGCGTGTGTTGATTGCATGTATTATCGTAGACATACAGATAATACCTTAGGTAGCCGTTGTCGAGACTTGTTATTTAATGCTTTATTTATACTAGGTTTGCATAGACATATAGTGAATCTTTTATGAATAATAGGTTTATAGCGCAGCGACAGCTGGTTATGAATAATTTCGTGTCTTGGGTTAATAATCGGGAATCGTAACTTGCATAATAGGAGATTAATTGGGTGAAGAATTATCGCATAGGGGGAAGATAAAATCCTAGATCCGTTTATTATTGATATTTTCTCGTAATTACTTGCTTTCTTAATTATTTTAATTTATTTAGTTAATTAAATTGACAACCTTGCGTAGGCTGGATAAAAATAACAATTGTTAGAATTTGGTACTTAGGATTAAATAATTTGCGTATTCCCTGTGGGATCGACATCCGACTCTCACGAGTCTACTTTACTACTTGTTTGCGATACGTACACTTGCGTGTTGGTATTTAGCACCCAACAGATAGGCAGAGAGTGGATTGCAGCCAAGGATGACTTGCCGGAGATTCAAAAATGTTTTCCGGCAAGTTGTCGTTGGCTACATTTAGCTCTCTACTTCTCATGTTAGCCTCATCAGATGAGTTTCACCACCAAATTAACTTGAAAGATTCATTCACCATGTTTCTTTCTTTCTCTGTGTATATCTGTATGTATAATGTTAATGTATATATCTAAACCCAAATAAGGTTTGCTATTTCTTGATAAGATTTTCTATGTTTCTTGCCTCAGTTTTGACCACACAGATACAATGTACATTAAACATTATACGGTACAGTTAGTACATTATAAAGTAGTTGAAGTTTCTAAACAAGATCTTGTTCTTGCAGGCAGCCATTGCAGTAAGAACTTGCAAGCTTCAAGGGTAGGGGTGTGAACGAGCCGAGCTCGAGTTTATTTTGTCGAGCTCGAGCTCGAGCTCGTCGAGTTCCTCTTTTTTTGGCTCGAGCTCGTGTCAATTTTGTCGAGCTCGAGCCCATTGTCTTTTTTTTTTTTTTTTTTTTTTTTTAAATATTTTTTTAATTATTATTTTATTATTAAAAATTATTTTAAAAAAATAAAAAATAAAAGCTAAATTGTAATTATATATATTTTTAATATTTGTATTTATTTCTATAATATTTTATATTATTATACATTATTTAAATAAAAATAACATATAAAAAATAAAAAAATAATAATAAATCCGGCTCGCGAGCTCATGAACAACTAAAAACCAGCTCGAGCTCGAAAATCTCGAGTCCGAGTTCGAGCTTTTTATGAGCCGGCTCGTCGAGCTCACGAGTCGGCTCGGCTCGTTTACCACCCTTATTCAAGGGAATGTAATTATTTATTTATTTTGTTATTTTTTGTTGATATTTTAATATATTTTTATTTACGTAATGTTGACGTATACCGTTTGTGGCTTTGATATTTACCAGATGAACTACTCATCTGTTGGAGGGTGTTTCAAGAGTAAAGTACAAATACACCCCCAGGAAATAGACCCTTTTTCACCTTGCAAATGAAGGGTTTTTTTATTATGTAAAACACTTTACAGGGGTATTTTGGTACATTGTATTTCATAGTGGAATTTGTAGCAAATTCCAGTTACACATGGGGTGTATTTGCAACTTTACTCTATGTTTCAACATCAATCAACAAACGAACTACCAGATCCACCACCAAGATATACTGATGTAACAAGTGCAAGAGGATATATTTCACCATACATTTTACACACACACACACGTGCGTACGAGTTCGTGAAACATAAGCGTTATAGATAACCTGCAATCTACGAGACCGAACATAATATTTACCGACCAACAGTTATCTCAAAGTTATGTGTTAATAATGTGCCCGAATTTTGCATTGTTATGCGTATCAATCGGTGGTTTCAATTCTGCTATCATGATGTTTAGCTTCGTACTCTAACGCCAATCAATGATTCTAAATTACTCGAAACAACCTCAAATCTTGGTTGAAGCCAAGTCAAACAATGGCCACAAAACAGAAAAAACAGTATCGACTAATCATTTTTCGCAGCGATCGGCAGTTATTGATAAATAACTATCTGGAAAAATAAAATAAAATAAAATAAAAATAGTCCCATATCTTATCTGCACAACGGAAAGAAGCCAAATTGTAGACAACAAATTGTAGACACGGGCAGTCCAAGACTGACCGGAGAAGAGAAACAAATATTACAGAATGGAGGTTGAGAACCAACAGCCTCAACCACATGTGAGATCATATTATCAGAACTAAAATCAAGACTCAAAATTCTAACATCGACAACGCAATTGCAAATAAAAGCATAATCAAGATTGTAGAAACAGAACAGAGGTACTCGATTTTGGCATAGCAACCACGTCGCAACCAACTCCAATACAAGAACTAAATTTGAAATGTAGAGAAAGCCAAGCAAAAAACTTTTATAGCATGTAACGATGACCACATTGAGGAAAATCGATTACCACTACGGGTGTCTAGTCATGGATACTCATAACCTCAGAATTCATTGAGCAAACATAACAAGAACATATAAATAAAATCGTCAATACTTTTAGTGAAAGCAAATTACAAAACCAAAAAAAAAAATTAAAATTTAAAACTTAAACCTTCACTTGGGAGTAATGAAGCCCTCCTTTCTGCCCTCGAAGCCAGGCCTCATCAATTTCTTCTCGCGCTTGGCAATCTTCCTCGACTTCTTCTCGTTGATCCTTCCAACAATGTTGTCTCTCCTCTTCCTCTGTCTCTCCCCCTTCATCTTCTCCTGTGTTTCGACTCTCTCTTTCCACTTCTCTGCATTCTTCTCCTTCTTCTTCTTATCCCTTCTCATGCTCTCTCTAATCAACCGTGGATTATCGTGCACCTTCACTCCCATTGCCCTAGCTGCAGCAACCTTCCACGCCTCTTTCTCTGCAACTGTTGGATTCTCTCTCTTCGCCTCCTGCAATTTCTTCGCCTTCTCCAACTCTTTCGCCTTTGACAATTTACTCTTCTTCTTGGCATGTTTCCCTTCATCTTCGTCTCCCAATTTCACCTTCCCGTATTCGATAATTTCCTCCTCTTCATCATTCTCGTTCCCATTCGACTGCGCTCCCTTCCCACTATGCCCTCCATCATTTTCATCACCATCTCTTTTCCTCTTTTTCCCATCTCTTTTCAGCTTCACTTTCTTTTCGTGAATGCTCTTCTCACTGCGGTTTCCACGCAAAGATTCAATCTTTCTGCGCAGCTTCTGTCTCAGCTCTTCATAAGTAACAGACTTTTTGTCCTCCTCCATATCGGAGGGCTTAGATTCAGGCTCGCCATCGAGATCTTCGTCGTCGGAGCTGCTAGCTTGCTGCTGCTGTTGGAGTTGGAGGGTGGAGGAAGGTTCGCCGTCGGGGTCGAATCGGTTGCGGCGGGCGAGCTTGATGTTCTCTCTGGTTTGTTGCTTCAGGGAAGCCTTCGCGGCTTTCGAGAGACCCTTGATCCACGGCTTCGAATCTTCGTCGTCGTCGTTCGTCAAGTAGAATCTCGCCGGTATCAAGTCTACTAAGTGGTCGAAGAACTCTCTCTGCGAATGAATCATCGATTTGAGGCCACCAATGTCGTCGGCGGCGGACGCAGCGGCGACGGCGGAGCTGCTCTTGGTTTGCTTCTTCTTCTTCATTATTGCGCTGCCTCTCCTGAGTGGTGGCGATGAATTAGGGTTTCGAAATAGGGGCGGAGGTATTATGTTAGAGGAACTCGGGGTTTAAAATTAATTTCGGAAATCCTTTTCCGTTGTTATTTATAATTAATATTAATTATTAATTTGTATTCTTTTTTTCTTATTTTTTAATTTTCATTTGGGCCTCTCTTGTATATTCCTATTATAAAAACAATTGTAATATTATTATAGGGCCGTATTTAATTGGTCAAAATTGGATTGATCGGAAATTCAAAATTGTGTGGCCTTTTCTTAAAAGATAGGGTGGCCCAATTTTGTGATGGGCTTATCTTAGCCCATGATTATCGCAGCAGATTTTAAATTTATTTTAAAAACAAATTATTTATTTATTTACCGACGAATTAGAGCATTGACCGCAAGGGTCAACATTTGAATGAGCAATGTCCACGCGCTTGAAGGGTTTGGGGGTAATTGAGGTTTAAGTGAATTGGATTACACAGGTCAAATGGTCAATGATACGTTCAGCCTCAGGAGTTTAAAAACGTTATTGCTAGATCACGCGCTTTTAGTTTCCCGATTAGCCACGCCGCACGCCTATTCTGATTTTTTTTTCTTTTTCAATTAGAATAGTAGGTAATCCACTTTTGTCCTACATTTTCCTTACCTTTTAATTTTGTAACAGGATATATATATATATATATATATATATATATATATATATATATATATATATATATATATATATTGTCAAATATCATTTAAAAGGAAATTGAAGAATTACATTTATATATACATGCTTTCATTGTATAGCTAAAATAGGTGCTTAATCATTTCTAACACATGAAATTGATTCAATGCATGTGGATTTAATGACTATAATCCATAAATGGTCTCAATTCTCATCCAATAATAGACAATTTATGGAAATTAAATAGCCATTATTTAATTATGATTTGAATTGGATGTCCCAATCACTAATTATTTGGAATCTACAAGGAAATTAAGGAATTTTAGCAATTGGTAAACAACCTATTTTCTTTCACGAAAAATTGGCTATTATTTGAATTTTGTCACCTAGATAGGTATCACCTAAATTTGATATGGTAATTAATATTTTACAAATTTCTCACTTTTTAATATAATGATAAATTCGATGATTTAACTCGTATAATATGGAATAAAACTTTAAATGGAATTAACTAACCACCGGCAATTTTCGTGCCACGCATCCTCACGCGCGTGGCTCACTGTTCCCCTAATCTTTCAAATTATTGAAAAATAAATCTGTGAATATTAATTAATTTAAAAAGGTAGCCGGGGCTGTAATGTATTTGTGTTTGCTTGGACGGAAGCAATATAACGTTCAACTCTCTCTCACAAATACAAATAGAGAGATACAAACAAAGACAAATCCTCTCTCTCTCAAACAAACACACACACACACACACACACACACTGCTCACACACCATAACTCCGAATCCTCCAAATTCATCTGCAGAATCCAGTAAAATATTGTGTACATCAATCTGTATTCCTGCGATTTCTGTAGATTTCATATATATAAATATATATATATATATTATATATATATATAAAGGCATCGTCTCACATACGCACTGTCTCTCTGATTGGTTGGATTGCTCAACTTGCCCTAGATCTCACAAATATAATATACAGGCGTGTATATATACATAATTAAACATCCTACTGCTACACGATTTCCGATCTGGTTTTCCAGCTCTCAACTCTTCAATTAATCAGGTAAATACTCACTGCTCAAGGATTCGCAACTGAAGCGTGCCTTTTAAGCTTTTTTCGTTTCTGATATATTGGAATTTTGTTTTACTGCTGTGTTTTTTTTTTTTTTGGTGGAAGTGGAAGTTGAAGTGGAGAGGTTCATTTAATGGTGTTACAGTGGATACAGTAATTTGCCTTTGCGTATGAATATAACGTTTTCTTTTAAATGCGTGTTAATGGACTTTGGCATAGCGTCGTGTTCTCTCTGTGCGTGTTTGCGAATATGTATTTATGTGTGTGTGTGTGTGTGTGTGTGTGTGTGTGTGTGTGTGTGTGTGTGTGTGTGTGTGTGTGTGTGTGAGGTTGGCTGTGATTTCTAGAAGTTTGCAAATCGCGGATTTGATTATGAATCAAGATTGGTTTAACCTTTTGGTTCCAATGATTTTTCATTTTCCCCTGGATTTGGTTGGGACAGCTTAGGATGTTCGAACGTGTTTAAGTTTTTATCATATATTTTGATTTCTATTCGCCCGAATTTGATTTTTAGTGGTTTTAGTTTCGTAATACTGGGATGTAAGTGAGGGTGCTCATATGAATTTGATTGTTAGTGGTTTTTGTTTCTTAATTTGGTTGCACCGTTGAAAATGAAGTTACATGTCTGATATGCAGGTTCAGATTCTTACTGGATCCAGTGTTTCAAGGTCTGCTTTAGGCAGACAAGATAGGGTTACTTTGGCTGGCTTTGCATTTTGAGGCCACCTGTGGAAGAAGATAAAATTATATTTGTGGGAGTTGACGTGTGATGCGTATTTTCTAGATGAAGTCAGCTCAGGCATGGCGTTTAGGCATGAAGGACATGCAAATATTGCCGGCGCCTCGCCAGCGTGGTCAACTGAAGAAGCCAACATGGATTATCGTTTTGGTTTCTTTAGTTAGCTTGTTCTTGGTTTGTGCTTATGTCTATCCACCTCAGAATTCTTCAGCATGTTATGTATTCTCATCTCAAGGTTGTAAAGCATTACAAAGTTGGCTCCCACCTACGCCTGCTAGAGAACTTACCGATGATGAAATTGCTTCTCGGGTTGTAATTAGAGATATTTTGGATTCGCCTCCAAGGATTTCAACGAAGGCAAAAATTGCATTCATGTTTCTGACACCTGGTGCATTGCCATTTGAGAAGCTATGGGATAAGTTTTTCCAGGTATTTTGTTTCTCTTTATTGCGACTACCAACCCGAGTATCACTTCCTATGAACTTACTTACGTTCTTATTTTGTGTGTTAAAATAGATGCAATTTGTTTGAACAACATTTATTCTAACGTTTCCGTTTCTCTGGCAGGGCCATGAAGGTAGATTCTCCGTGTATGTTCATGCATCCAAGGATAAACCTCTTCATTTTAGCCGTTATTTTATCAATCGAGAAATTCGTAGCAGCAAGGTTTGTTCCGCTGTTTCTTACTTGTTCCTGTTCATTGCAAAGGAACAATAAAAATAAAAATTACAAGCATAACCTATTTTTATGCTTCTTTGTGTAAAACAAATCATTTCTTATGATTAAACTTAGAGTTCTGGATTTATATAAACTTATTTCGAATTTTTTTATGGTTCTGTATATAATTCCTGCTTAGGAAAGATAGCTGTGGATTTACACGTGGATAAATAAATATTACATATTTTGTGAGAGGGATTTGAGCAAGTTAGGCTTATGGTTTAACTTGGTTTTCTGTGCATTGATACTTGCAAGATCATCTTTGACTTGTAACTTGTTAAAGACATCTCGATTCCAAATTTAATTGGTATTACATCTTTTGGATATATATGCTTTCAATTACTCGTTGAGCTTGATCTACTATAAACTAACTAACAGGCAGTTATGTGAACCAAACGATGTTTTCTCGTCTCAATGTTATTCTTTTGCTACATGAATTAGTTGCTCTTAACATTAAGGAAATCACAGTTCTAGTTTGCAATTTACATTAAATTTTGCTTCATTATCATTTTTTTGTGATTGTTCTGTTCAATCTAAAAGTGATAAATCATACCACTGTCTGTAGAACTAAACTGCCATCAGCTGAATGCTTTTAAAAATGGTGAACAAATTGCAGGTAGTATGGGGAAAAATCTCAATGGTTGATGCAGAAAGGCGGCTTCTAGGAAACGCACTTAAAGATCCAGACAACCAACATTTTATACTACTTTCGGACAGGTTGGTCTCTACAAACTTCTTCATTTTCGATTATTTTGGGAACTAAAAATAGTAATCAGATACTAATTTAACATTTTTTTTCCTGAACTGCAGCTGCGTACCACTTCATGATTTTGATTATGTGTACAATTATCTCATGTACACAAATATTAGCTTTGTAGATTGGTAAGTCAGCATTTTTTCTTTTTCTTTTTCTTTTTTTGTCGCTATTTCTTTTGTGGTAGGTTCTTAGATGGGGAGACAAATCATCTTTAGTGGGTTTATATTATTGATGTTGTGGTGAGGTTTTAACCTTTTAGTCAATATCAATATTAAAAGAATTGGAGCTAAAAAAATTGAACACATTATCCTTCACAAAAAAATTGTTATGCATTGTGAGATAGGCATCTAAAAGTGTATGCAACTAATTTGGCAAATTACAGAAGTGATATGGACGAAGAAACAACAAACACCAATGGAAGTGCTGAGATGAAAATGACCATCCCTCATTATGAAAATTGGTATTTGGTCTCGACTATTAACGTCAATATATAGGGTTTGAAACACGATTTGAATTATAAAAAAACCCTAACTGATGATTATTGCCTCTATGGAGCAATGTTTAAATGAGGGTAGGTCCCTCAGGTTTTTGAAATCACATTGAGAAATGTTTTAATTACAAAAGCATCCCCCAAGGTTTGAGACATGGTTTAAATGCTGATAGACTCCTAGGGTTTTTGAAATACTTCCTATTTAAGTTCATGTTTTATTTAATTTTTAGTACTGTGGTAATTGATATCACGTTTGTTTAAAGATAAATAGGAGAGGTAATGGTTAAACCCGTTTTCTACAGCTTCGAGGATCCTGGTCCACATGGAAGTGGCAGATACATTGAGTATATGTTACCTGAAGTCGAGAAGAAAGACTTTCGGAAGGGAGCCCAGGTGTGGTTTCATATTTTAACAACAAATATGTGGAGGAAAAAATTATAGATGTGTGAATTTTTTAAGTTTATTTGCTTAAAAGAACATGACAAAGGGAGCAAACAACTCTCTTTTTAATTTTTTTAAATTGTATTTCTGCATTTAAGTGTTGATTGTTTTGAACAATGCAGTGGTTTACAATGAAGCGGCAACATGCTCTTATAGTCATGGCTGACAGTCTCTACTACACAAAATTTAGGGATTATTGCAAGGTGACCACCGTTTCCTTATGAACATTTTCATCAATTAACAACTTACCTTTGTTTCATTTTTGTTTTCAATGATATTTTACTATATATTTAATGGTACACTTCCTTTCTGGCCTAGGCAAATTGTGGCTAGCGCTTAAAGCTCTACTTTTATTCACATTTCACATCACCAAAATAAACCATTCTATGATATAGTGGTGCTTAAGGATTACCAATTTCTGATATTCCTTAATGAACCATTTCCTTATAAGAGCTAAAGTCGGAAACCCTTCGTCATATTCAAGAATTAAAGAGAAGAAACATATTATTATTCAATTGATTGTGTAATTCAACTTTATTCCAAGATTTATCAAATAGAGAGGACAAACCCTTTATATCTTGCTTGAAATATCTCTCTCCGATGTTACATGTTGCTACACTTTATTTTATCTGCAAAATGAGATAAATTTTTGCATGCGGCCTCTTATTATTTTAAGGGCGGGGTTGACATTCTTCTGCTTGGGAGCTTTTTTTACATTAATTGGTGGCACCAATTTTAGTCACTGCTGACTGGCTTTTATTTGCTTTTTCTCTGTACTTAAGCATATTGATTTGAATATTTATTACTAGCACATTTTACTGAGCGGCTATTGCCATTTGGTACCTTTGATTGAACAGCCAGGCATGGAAAAGGGACGCAACTGCTACTCTGACGAACACTATCTGCCTACTTATTTCTATGTGAGAACCATTGTGCCTTTTGTTTTTGGTTTTTAAGGTGTCTTTTCCTTTCTTTTCCCTCCAATGTTTTTAGTTTTGACGTTCGAGTATTTTTCATCACCATTTCACCATTTCAGATGCTTGACCCAGCTGGAATTTCCAACTGGTCAGTAACACATGTTGATTGGTCTGAAGGGAAGTGGCATCCAAAAGCTTACAGAGCAGAGGATGTAACATCTGAGCTGATGAGAAATCTTACTGTAAGTCTTATTCTCCTTCTCGGCTCTTCCTCCAATCTCGGTTATGTTTTTCACTTGACTTCCCAAATTCTACTTTATTTCCCTCGATTTGTTGTCTTGTTCAAAAATGGATTTTATTACTATCACAATTTATCATATGAACTATATCAACTGGAAGGAGATTACTCAGTTGCATGAATTTTATTAAACTGTGTTTTCGGGACCTTATTTGGTTAGGTCTGGCACCTTGGCCCCTCAATTTACACTCGTAGAATGCAGAATAGTTGGTGTTCTATCTTATTTGTTTCTGAATTGGTTAAATACTGACGCACTTCATTTCAACTATTTTTGCAGTCTATTTCAGAGAGCGTGCACGTTACAAGTGATGAAAAGGTTAATATCTTTCTGCCGTAGCTCTGCTTCGGTTTTATATTTTTCAGTATTATGATGAAAACTATTCTTCAATACTGCAGAAAGAAGTCCAGATTAAATCATGCTTGTGGAACGGGAGTGAACGGCCGTGTTATTTGTTTGCAAGGAAATTCTTACCCGAGACTCTTGATAATCTAATGCTACTTTTCCCCAATTATACAAATTATACATCCATTTGATCTGTCGGGGGTGATCAATTTACTTCAGTATTAATTGATTTGGTCGATTCAAGTGTTGGATTCTCCACTTCTGGTACAGATTTCTGCTTTTGTAAAAGCACCCCCAAGATTGCTTCTTTTTTTTCGTTGCAACCGTAACTGGCGGAACGCGAAGGTAAACTTCGAACCAATTTGAAGGTGAAGAAACATAGCCAGTGTTTGCTTCCTTGGGGAACAATGATTTGTTGTTTAATTTTTCCCTCCATTTGGGCTATATTTTATGTTACATTCTGATATTCGGAACCTAGGCAGCAGTGTTTATAAATTGACTTTTGTAGAAGTTGGATTATAAATTTGCAAATATCGCCTTGGCGGTTATAGTTTTCCTTTTTTCTTGGTTGATTAATTGTTTAATTAAGTTTTGTTTGCCCAAATTGAAGAGAAGTATTCGCAGGATGAAGAAACTACGATCGAGATTGTACTGAAATGTCTCGCACATTTTGTAGCAACTAATTAGTCTTCACTGTTTGTTTATATTCGTTGATATTTGTTTCTGTGCCGATTTTGTTGCACAAGTATGTCGGGCTTATTTCCCACCGGTGACTCTATTTTTTCTTGTGATTTATGTTATAATCTTCTTTGTGTTTGTTCTTTTCATATACGTAGGTACGTGCAGGGGTACATCTGGAACAAAAAATAAGTCCAGGATTTCAGTTCCAAAACAGTGCAGTAAAGCCGCATGTTGCCTGATACTGCAATAAATACTCATCAAGTATGTGAAGAAAGTAACTCCCACTCCACCACTACTTCATTATATATATACATATATATATATTTATGTAAATAATCTGTGTGCAAAAATACAACGTAAATCCGGCCATGGCAGCAAACCCGAAACCCACGGCCGTTATCGTCCTGGTGCTTTCCGTTGCAGTTCTTTTTTCCGTCACCACAACGGCGGCTAGTGGCCAAGCTCCACCACTTCCGCCGCCAGGAAAACCAAGTCGCGTAGAGGCGTGTGTGAAGCTTCTCTTTGATCCTCCGGCGGAGGCTTCGCCTAACATGAGGCGCACTCTCTGCCGGGATCTGCTGCGAACGATGGTTACTTCTTTTGGAATCACCGGAAAATTATCACCTGAGTATCTGGCAGCACTCAAAAAACTGCCCAAATTTAAGGACAGCCCCAAATCTTTGGAGAAATTCATTTGTGGGCTTTACCCGGGAAAGAAGCACGGATGTGATGGCACTAAAATTCAACCCATATTATCATGAAAATAAATTAACATTTTAAGGTTCTTTTTTGGTACATTTTTTTTATTCAAAAAATAAATAAGAAATCTCCGACTTACACACGAATGGACACTCATCCGTTTATTATAAAACATACTTTTTTTTTATCTAAAAATATCTGGTTAATCTAAGTCTTGGTGAGTCAACCGTGTCCTAAAATTAGGTTTAATCTAGTCAAGTCTAGCTTCTGTCTTGCTATCTGACCTTAAAATTTCTCAATCATGGTGCAAAGTCACCACAATATCAACCATTGAATTACAGACAAGTTTAAATAATACAAGTTACTAATTCTTCATTAAAACTTTATTATTACATCAAATATATAAAGAAATTAGATAAATTTATTGTCACTGCAAAAGCATCCACTTAGCTAGTAATTTCACCAATTAACACCCAAAAACAATACAACACATATTGCAAAGTAAACATCCAGGAAACAAGAATAAGATCTATCACAATTCAATATTTAATAATCTTGAACTAATGATTGTTAGATTAAAAAAAGATACATTGGTTGGTAATCCAACTCTACAAACTTATACATCGGAAGTAAACAAAGACTTTTCCCCGAGTGACAGGTCATCTACCCCCGAAAAAAACGTCGTTCGTAGTTATATAATACTCAACAAATTTATTTTCTGATATTGCATGTAGTAGAATAGAGAAGGAAATAGAGTTCAGACAGAAAAATGGGCTGCAGGTTTTCTTGCAAAAGACTATCTTCTTCTTCTTCAACCTCAAAAAAATCGAACTTTAAAAAAGTAATCAGAATAGTAGATTTGAATGGCTACACTGAAGAAATAGATTATCCAGTGACAGTTGGTGAAGTAACTGGCGATCCACCAAAGCATTTCTTGTTCACCCACACTCAGCTCCTTTCTTCTGCCTCAACTCCTCTCAAATCGGATACCCTTCTCGAGCAAGGCCGTTTATACTTCTTGCTTCCTTATTCTCTCTTCGATTCCAACGTGTCACCGTTGGATTTGGCCCCTATAGCAAGGAAACTCTCCCAAAATAGCCGCTCGAAAAAATCCAAATCAAGAAAGCAGAATATTCCTTCACCGAACGCCGTTTTTTCAGACAAGAGTGGTAATAAAACGGACAACAACGAGGTGTTACGCGGGCCCAAGTCGAGATCGTGGAAGCCCGTTTTGGCTACTATCCGTGAGAGATCGTTCAATCGGAGAAGTGAATCGGACTTGCTGGAAATGTGAAGGGTGATACCAAAGAGTAGCGCTTTTTTTTCTTTTCTTTTTTTTTTCCAAATTTCTCATGCAAAACAAGTTTGGTGTACGTCTTTATTCAGTTTTTTTTTTTACAAGAATTGTAACATTTAAATCATGTATATTATATATGTTGGTTTTACAAAAAGGGTTAGTCATTAACAACAATTGGAGCTGTTGGAACCAACTTATTGTTGGGTAAGCAGCTCCATCCATTTTCTTTGCTGTGAGATACTGTAAAATACTTCGGAATATAATCTTCTTCTTCTTCTTCGTCTTGTTTTTGTCTCGACTTTCTCTCTCTTGCAGCTTCTCTCTGCTTTTCCTCAATGCATGTCTTGATTTCCTTAGCTTTTCCCCAGCTCTTTTCCAGAATGGCCTCGCTCACTTCTCCCCACACCACACTCGATTCGCTCTCTAAAACCGCCTGAAAAAATCGACGATATTTCATTATGAAGAAACAAAAACACCAAAAAAAATGAGTTTTCTTTTTTAAGGAATGGAAAAATACCTTTGGATCCTTAACAATGGGAGTCTTCAATCGGTGAAGTGCTTCTTTAGCATCGTAGATGGTCGTTGTTTTTCTGGTGGAAACATCTTTCAAAATTACAGTTCTGTCCCAGTGGCCACTAACCTCGTAAACGGTCTTCGATGTGGATGACATAAATATCTTCCCTTTAACCGACCTATGTATAGAGGGTCGTGGCAAAAACGAGTTTCCTCTGTAACACAACTCTGCTTCAATCCCACTTTCTTCACACCGAATCTTGACATTTCCCAGCCAATCGACACCTGGCAAAGGGAAAAATCTTATTACAAGCTTCGGAGAATTCATCGTGTAAGTTTCTCTCTTGTCCAGAATATTCAACCGCCTCTCCCCGTGCACCTCCGTTTCGATGTAAGTGCCTGCGTAAACAACATAATAATATTTGTTTTCAAATAAAACCAACTGTAAGTAATGTAATTAAAATACCATATAAGCTTAATAATAATACCATGGAATCTTGGTAGGGGAGATTGACACCATATCATTTCTATGTTGTTTTTGTCATCGGTTGCTTGAAGTGCAGTCACCGGTGGATGATGTGAAACCTGTCAAAAAAATTCAAGAATTCATTGCATTGCCTAAATATTCACTTAATAGGAAAAAGAAAAAAAGACAACAAAAGTACGAAAAATAAAATGAATATGTGTACCTGTTCTAGTAGCACATTTAGTGTCCCCCTCGAGACGTGATGAGTCTCTCCAAGAATAGGGTTGTACGGAGCCAAACCGAAAGGCAAGGGGCGCAGAGTGGATATGCTCCATGCAACAACCGAAACGAATCGGCCAAGTGGCGTTTCCTCATTGGAGCACTTGGTCAACATGTCAGAATTGGTGGAGTACAATGATTCGCCATAGCACTGAAGCTGAGACTTTGGAATGTTGAACTGAGGTGGAAGCTGGAAATTATTTTATTTTTTTCGTTGCAAGAATCAGATATTCATCCGACATCGAAAGAAAAATAAACTTACTTTGTGAATATATTACTAAAATTGGAAGTATAATAAAACACTTGCCTGAAGGCGAGTTAGGTCTGATCCTGGCCGTACACTAGAGAGAAGGCTTAGTATACGTTGGATCAAGTTCGGAGCTCTATACTTTGAATCTGATTCCTCGTTTTCCAGAGAAAATGGTGCAGTTAGAACAGCTAACTTTGTGTCCGACCCCACCTCTCTTACCTGCAACATGTTTTGGCCATTCATTGTCTCGAAATGGACACTTTCATCTAATATACAAAACATTTAATTACTACACTGGAGTATCTTCGATAATTTATTAATAGTTGTAAACCTAACCTAATCGTACTATATTTATTTTTCTTATTTGTCGTTGTAGCGAATTCAAACAACTACTAATATTTATTCAAAGTGTGTTTATTAGCTGTCCTAATTAAGCAGGGACCGTTTGACGAAAACATAAATACTAGTACTTGTTGGTCTATTCTACGCCGCCGAACTTCATCGGGTAATTAATTTTATACACATATATTAGTAGTTGAGGAAAACATAATTACACTTTGAATAGACCAACAACTACTACCACTACTACTGATAAATAAATCGGGAGGGGATTGTAGATGAATGGTATATATCTTCACCCATAGACTTTATTGAAATTCGAAAGAAAAGATCAGTGAGTTCACACATATCCGAAAAATGTGACACTTATTGCGCCTTTTTACCATACCGGAATTTCTAAATTCTCTTTATTCCGTAAAGTAAAAGCAAAATTTGCATCTTATTAAGAAAAGAGAACAAGCAAGCCGCAACTTGCCACTTTTTTCTTGGATCAAGAAGCTTTTATTTCAATTAATTCACATTTGACGTAGTTTTACGCTTTATAGAAAGTACATTGCACGTAACAAATCTATATTAAAAGAAGTAAAATAAAGCACAGAGATAAAACACACAAATGGTAGAGAGAGATTAGGTTGGGACTAATTTTTCTGGTAAACTTAATTAGAGTCTGGGCATTAACTAATTAATTAATTAATTAGTTAATTAATTAATTAAACGAATCTATTATCAAGTTCAACTTACACCAAGTTGATTACTACTTTTTCTTGTTGTTGTGCTTTCGCAGACGTGACAGGGGAATGAATACAAAAGTCTTACATATCTTGTGTGTGTGTGTGTGTGTGTATATATATATATATATAATATTCGTTAGTATCTGTGTGCTGACCAATCTATACACACATGGCGGACGAAGAGTTGTTCCGATGTCGGACCTCGCCGCCGGAAAACTACCTTAACTTGCCGGAAAACAATGTATTCGATAGACGAAATCGATTCAGAGAAAAGAAAAAAAAAATCACGAATTACAAATTGAAAAAACAAGGATTCACCGGCGTAAATCAGACGCAGAGAAAGATAGAGTGGGGAAGAGAAGTACCATTTCAGGCGATCGCCGCACTGCCACTGAATCACAGAAGTAAACTTTATAGAGAGAGAGAGAGAGAGAGAGAGGGAGTTTATAATTTGTTGTGTATCGGTCATTTCGAATCAATTGGAAAAAAATACCCTTTTTAAAGACTTCGCCAGCGGCCTGCTTTCTTTACTTCCATTTCCTTTTTCGAGAAAATCAAGGGCAAAAAAGAAAAAGAAAAGGAAGGGGCGCAAATGTCAATATTACCCCTGCGATTTTATTTTTTTCACAAATTCATTTGCTCAATTAATTAAAGAACATATATTGGGAACTTTTTAAAATTTGTTTGGGCTTTTCTAGATATTTGTTGTATATTAATATTATAATGGAGACTGAAGAAAAATGCATTTTATTGTTAAAAAATCCAATGAAAAAATTGAATTTTAATACATTTTATTATAACAAAATAAATACATATAAAAGAAAACCGAATTTTAATATCAATTACTGGAAAAAGAAAAACTCTATAAACGATATAATTAATATAATTAAATGGCTTCAATATATTTCAGAATTATTTTTTAAACAGTTGGTCATTACATTCTTCAACATATTACCTGTTATAAGAAAAACAAACACAAACTTGAAAAATCGATAACCGAAGGCACTCGTAACTACTACTCACTCAAACGTGATTCAATGGCTGCAAAACTGCATCTGTTTTCAGAAAATGCCAAACGTGTCCCCTACTACATATTATTATTCACTTCGATCAGACGTTCGAATTCCATAGTGCTTGAAAAATTCTCTGAATCCATAAGGACTGAGATCGTTGTTGAACTGGGAAAAAAGGATATATCTCAAATATTCGTTTTTTCGTATGATTTGAAATAGATGTATACTATATTATGGGATGATGGGAACAACTTCAAACACTCACCGGTAAAACTCTGACGGAGTATTTTGTGATATTCGGATCAACAGCCTTTCCTTGATTAGTTGCCTGTGACATATAATAACAGTTGCTCATTACATGCTAAGATCAAAGTACGATAATCCGATTCACCATAATCTAAAATCTCTCAATTAATTAGTCTATAATTAATATAAATAACGATTATCTTCCAATCGAAGAGGCACTCGCACATTTGAAGTTGAATATTGGTAATAAAAAACAACTTTTACCTGTTCTGGGCTGTGAAACATTTCTATAAATGGATATTCTGTCTTCTGCCGTGTAATACAGAACCCCGGGTACTTTGGGCACTCAACCTAACAAACAAAAAACACGATAACTACGCCAAAAAATCTTAAGCTAAAATCAACAAGTTTTACTATAGTGTAAATGAGATGTTTTTATAAATCAAGAATAATATCATGTAGCACATGCCAGCGAGATGACTTACGCGCAAAAATTTGACATGTGGATCGAACTCTGCAGCAGCTTCCTCCAGTACTTTGTCAAGAGGTTTCGTTAGGTTACACCTGAAATTGTAAAAGACTTAAATGACTGACAAATAATTATACTAATTATGAAAATAAAAACGAAGAAAAGTGAGTCGAACAGTTACTTGATTGTAAATGCAACAACCACAGGATGACCTTGGTGAAGGAGCTGGACGAACTCACGTTCTGAGGTGAAATGAATAACTTTCGACGGTCCTAGATCCTTTGGGTAGCCAGTATAGTACCTTCGCGTTTTTACGGCGATTCATATGAGAATATGGTTAATCGAGTGATCAAATAACAAGGGAAACTGAAAAATACTGAGTGGCACTAGAATTAGATTTTTAAGTAACACACCGAAGTTCGGAATAAAAAAATCAAATTGATCACAAACTGCAGATAAAGAAGTTGATATTATATAAAAGTATCGTAAAATATCCTAGCGAGAAAGCACCCCGGAACAAAAAAAAAACATCTAATTGGCTCTAACCAACTCATGACTAAATTTGAGGATTGAACTTAGAACATCAATTCAGATATACAAGATTCTGCTTGTCAACAATGTATATAGTTGGTGTTTATTCGGGCGTGAGTTCGTTAACATACTTGCAAGTTGAACGAAGATCGAGCATCAGCTTATTGAGGAACGAAGAATCTTCCATTCTGCTGAACTCAAAGAACAACGAATTTTGCCAAAACCTGCGTTAAAACAATATATCAAACACTTTATCCTCAAAACCCCAAAAAACAAGGGCAGCTGATTTGCTCAATTATTTACTTTTTTACTCCTACCAATTCATGTATCTATCTCAGTATTGCACGAACAATTCAACACAAATCAAAATTCGATGGATAATTACAAACTTTCACCAAAAGCAGAAAATAATTTTTCCGATTACCATTTCAGTAAAAACTAAATTAAAAGCTGGAATCCTGAGTCTGGTTTCTCTATTCGGATTTCTAATCCACACGAGTTAGACGAATTATAAGAAGTATACATTACCCGGCGGCGGACGGGTGTGTGCGCGGCGGACGGCCGGTGAGCTACGGTGGCTGCACCTCTTCCTCAGACTAGGCTTAGAAAACCACGACTTCCCGTTTCCCAAATCAAGTATAGCGATATATGTTCGACAAATAATCATTAAAAATAATATTTTGCTTTTATAAAAAATATTATTTTAATTATTTGCATTACATTAATCTCAAAATATTTAATTTTTGATCTGAAATATCAAATACGTTCTTTGTTTTACTAATAGTAATTACTATAGAGAAATATATTATAATATTTTATTTTATTTTTTTACACCATATTTAGCAAGCCCGACCTATTGAATTTCGGGCTCGGGCTCGGGCTCAGGCAAGAGAAAAGTCCAATGGGCTTTTCAAACGTAAGCCCAAGTGTTTCTTGTATATCCATTTGTTTCTAGGGTAAATACTAAATAGTCCTTAAACCCCCTGTAATTTGATTTGTTTGCACAAGACCCCTTTATACTTTCAATATAGCACATATGACCCCCTTGTTTTTATACAAGAAGTATTTCTTCTATATATTAGCATACAAAAAATATACACAAGAAAAAATCTTTATCAACAGCAAAAGGCAAATCTATTCTATTACAAGAACAGATTCTCACAGCATCTTCTTCATTTCTTCTATTTAAGCTGCTGCTGCTGTCGGATAATTTCAAAGAGCAGCAAAACGATATCGATTTCGCATTAATCGTTTAATTTTGACGCGAACACTGACCTCAGTGGACGGACTATCAGTTTCTTTTTTAACACGTCGTTTCTTAAAAAAGCATAATCGCCCTTCAATATACCATTTGCACCAAATCGACTGTGTTATAAACCGTAGCTTATGCAGCAAAGAGCTCACAGCTCCATAAGCAACTTAGTCAACCGATTTGCTTTAGCTAGGTCCCCCTTCGAACACAGTGAACGAATTCGAGAATAAAACGAATCAAAATCTTTCAACTGCTCTGTTTTTCCATCTTCGCCCCCACAAATCTCAACCACGTTGTTATCTTGTTTTTCGACATCATCATATGCCACGGAATGAAAATCAATTCCATTATTTATCGAAGGCGCCACTTCAGCATGTGGATCCAATGTACGTAGAGACGAATTTCTCCCAGCAGAGAAAAGTATCGATTTAACTTTATTAAGCAAAGCAACAGCCTCGTAAATACTTCCTCGATCCAAAAGAAAAACGAGTAGATTCTCGACCGAATCAGATTCAGCTCCACTATCCACCCTGCCTAAGAGATCAACAACAGACGGGGTTTGAAGCATCTCTCTCAAGATTCCCCAAGATTCTCCCATCCTTCCTTTCGCACATAAGCCCCTAACTAAATACATAAAACCCAAGAAATCCGGTAAAAACCCGTTTCTTTTAAACTCGAGATACAAATTAAGTGCTCCTTCCATGTCGCCTTTCAGACAATACCCGTTGATCAGTGCACCAACCGTAAATCCATCTGGCTTAAGATTCCTCGTCTCTAAATCATGGAAAATCTTTATAGCTTCATCGAGCAGACCAGACTTGCAATAACCGTTAATCAACGAGTTATAGATACGAGTGTTCGGCTCGAGATTCTTGAGTAACATCCTATCGAGGAGCATATTCGCGTCGTGTAAAAGCCCTTCTTTAGCTAAAGCATCGATAAGTGTACCGTACGTAACTTCAGTGGGAAGAATATCGATTCTTTCGAGTGAATCGAACAATCTAAAAGCTTCGGTCAGACAACCTTGGTGGCACAATCCATTTATTACGGAATTGAAGGTCACTATGTTGAGGACTATGCCCTTCTTCGCTGCTAAAGTGCAGATATCTAACGCTTCTTTGATATGCCGTTTTTTACAGAGGGCGTCGATTATAATCGTGTAGCTAACAACATCCATAGGGGCAAGATTGTATTTTGCTCCTACCAAGAGCTCGTATGCATCCAAAACTCTACCTTCGTTTATCAGCGTCTTAAAAACGGCAACGGGAATGATTATATTCCGGTTCTTTGCGTTCATTGACGAGAGAAATACAAGGGATTTTTTCACATCATGCAAACATAAGTAATTTAGTACGATCTCACAAACTCTGAGATCTGACATGCCGTAAATTTTAACAAACGAACTCAAGATAAGCCGAGCCAGCAACTTTTTACCTTCAAAGAGAAGCGCTCCAAGAATCGAATAGTAGCACAAGCTGGCCCATTGTAATCCCTCGGTTCTCATTGCCGATAAAATATCGTACGAGGCCTCGGCGAAACCCATTTTGCACAGGAAATAAACGGCATCTGTGCACAAAACAGGCAGCGTTAGAAACCCCGTTTCTTCGATTCTGTACATCACTTCCAAAACACTTTCTGCACCTTTTACATTGAATGCTGCTTCAATCAACATCATGTATAGTTTTTTATCCAAAGGCAAACCTTTCTTGATATATTCGATAAATACATCCCCTGCCATGTCTGCCATACCCTTTTCGCACAGCCCCAAAATAATACATTCGTAACAAGCGGGTGAAGAAATTGGCGTGTTTCGGTACTCATCGAATATTTCTAGCGCCTCGTCGATCCTGCCCGCTTTGCAATATCCATCAATCAGAGTGAAGTATGTAACAGAGTTCGCCGAAATGTCCATTTTTTGCAGTCCCTTATAAATTGCAAATGCGTCCTCGAACAAGCCCACCATGAACAGGGCTTTTATCAGTACATTACACACGACCACATCCATACGAACACCTGCTGCTTCGAGTCTCGTTTTTGTTTCCAAAATCCCCGAGTTATTTTGTTCTTTAACATAGCCTTGTAACAATGTGCTATATGTGAAGGCATCTCCGATTATGCCCTTTGAGAAATCATCTGCCTCGGATGTCCTCCCAACTTTGCATAATCCATTAATGACAGTATTGTATGTCACAACCCCAGGATTTATACCTTTCTTCGGCATTTCATCGAGCAGCTGGTATACAAGATCAAAATCGCCCTTTCTACAAACTCCATTAATCAGAATGGCGTATGCAAACTCATCCGCTTCAATCCCTAACTTCTCAAGCATGCCGAAAATCGAAAATGCCTCATCCAGTTTCCCTTTACTGCAAAATCCCAATATAATTGCAGTATAGGTAACTAAATTCGGCTCGATTCCATCCCTTCTCATCTTGTGCAAAAACCCTACAGCCTTTTCCACATTCCCGTTCTTTGAAAACCAATCGATAAGTATCGTGTAACTTATCATATCCAGCTCGACTTTATTATCCACCATTGCTCTAACTATTTTATACGCCTCGTGAACTAATCCTTCCCTTAAACACCCGTACGCCCAATTACTATAGAACACAACATCAAACGCCAAATCGTTGCTTCCCATCCAAGCAACCAATTCAGAAACCTTCTCTACATTTCTTAATTTACAGTAAGCAGTCAATAGAGCTGTACATGTAACAGAATTCGGCATCAAGGAACCCGATTTTATAGCAGTCTCGTAAAACCCGACCGCAAGTTCAGGCTCCCCGATCCTCGAAAAACCAGAAATCACAGAACTACAAACATAATTATCAAAAGGGTACTTGAATTTGTCATCAGACATCAATTCCAACAAATCAATCACTCTATTCATTTTCCCCATTCTGCTAAAACAGGAAATCAATAAACAAAAAGTACGTGAAGAAGGAACAACGCCGTTTAATTTCAAGGAATCCTTCAACAGAGAAAGCCCCCGCTCGGGGTCTTGATTACAAGTACAAAGAGCTTGGATTAGAGAATCAAAAACACGATTTTGGTGGAAAATCTCGTGGGTTCTCAAGAAATCAGCTGCTTCTTCGTATCTGCTATCCTTGATCAAAGCTTTTGCAAAAATTGTGCGGGTTTGGGCGTCGGCATTGATTTGGTTCGAGCTGAGTTGGGAGAAGACGTGGATAATGGCTTTGAATCTTTGATTCCGGGAGAGGAAAAGGAATAAATTGTTGAAATCTTTGAGGGTTGGAGTGAAACCACTTTTTAGCAGTGTGGAGAGCGGAAGCATTTTCAAATAATTTCTATGGCGAAAAGAAACCACTCTTCTGTATTTTGGAGGGCATTTTCCGTTGCTAACATGGTACAGTAAATTAAACGGACTTTTGGAGAAGGGAAGAGGAATTCGAAATCGTACAGCACTACAATGAGTTTAGAAAAAAAAAAAAAAAAAAAAGGATTTCCGGTGGCGGAGCTTTGGGAGGAAGGGCAGCCGGTGTGGAAGAACAAAACGACGTCGTTTTAGGAGTTTCAATTCAATTGGACTTAATTGCATCAAATGGGCTTTTCAGAGTATTGGGCTTTAAATTAATATTACAATTAGAGAAATGGGGCAAGCTCAGATTGTTAATTGGTGCCCAATTACCAATTTGGATACCTGCAAAAATCAAAAGGGACACGTGTCACTCGTTCATTAGCTAGACAAAAGAATATTCTGAAAATTGCACATGCAGACTTGTTATATGTTTTAACCTGGATTTCGGAAATGAAGATTATAATCTTCTAAATTTCGTGGAATGTTTTCTAGTTTGCGCTCGTTTTCTTCAAAAAAGTTTCTCATGGGATAAACCAGGTACAAAGTAAAGAATATTCCTTATAATCTTGAAGATTCCACTAGACATCATTATATATTTCACAATCTACACACTATATTTATTTATGTGTTGATTTCAAACTAATTCTTATTTGAAAAAAATAAAATAAAAGAATAAACATATATTGTTTTCACATATAGAACAGATGGAATATGATTCAACTACTATAAATAGTTATTATTACATATCCAGTAACAAAAAAAAAAAAATTTACAGCAAAAGAAGGCTGTAATAAATAATAATAATAATACTGTTACACTGCCATGGCGAAAACAAGAAATTCCACCATGCCATACAACTAAAGTCAAAACTTAATAGCATTGGGAAGAGACTACAAGTCTCCCCCCTCACACTACTTATATCTTTACATCGTTTCCCGATTATATATTTATATATATATTTTTTTTTTCGGACGAAAATACGTCCGATCCCAGCATTATGCGTATTATTATTATTCGACACCGATCGAAAAAGAAAGTTCACCAACTTATCGATCGTAGCCCATAGCTACAACAGGTAGCCTCACCTTGTGGCCTCGACTCCCTTTCAGCCATACCTCACCGAAGCTGTAGCTCCCCGTGACCGAACGGACCGTGAGGGTGACAGTTATCCTCCGTGATGCACCTGGTCTTAGAGTCATTGCCGGAGGATCGGTTTCGATGGCGACAGCTGGCGCCATTCTGGCTGATATCACGTACGTTTCTTCCCCAGCAACGTTCGTCACGGTTCGTGTGACGGTTTGAGTTCCAACGAGGTGTGAAATCGCGATCGAGGGCATGTTGAGATTCGACGGATGGCCTAGAGTGTAGTTGCATGGGATGTTTGTGTAGTTCTTGATCTCGTGTGCATCTATTCCGGGTGTGGTGCACAAGAACCCCAAGTAGTCTTCGTATCCTTCAAAAAAAAATCAAGAAAATTCAAAAAAAAAATTCTAAAAATAAAAAATTAAAAATTAAAAATTAAAAATTAAAATTAAAATTACCTGCATCGAAAATGAGTCCGGGGTCGAGAGCTGCTCTGGGGTTGACATGGCCACTCCCATAATCGAACGGTGTTGCAGGTACGAAAGAAAGAGTCTCTTCGCTCGAGTATTGTTGGGCTTGAAGTGGTCTCTCTGCTCGATCGAGGGTGGTCGATGTAGTCATCAGAGCCGATTTGATAGCAGCCGGGCTCCACCGTGGGTACTTTTGCTTCACGAGAGCAGCTATTCCTGCTATATGAGGTGCAGCCATGCTAGTTCCTGATATCATTGCAAATCCCTCCCCTGTTTTTTTTTCAAGAAACGACGTTTTTTTTTACACTCTTTCTGTTTTTCCTAACTAATTAGAGGGCAATATACGTAAAAAAAGATCAAGACTTTACCGACGTAATTTGCTTCATCAGTTCCGTTCGGAGCCCAAGCAGCCCAAATTAACGAGCCAGGAGCTAGAATATCGGGTTTAAGAAGATCTGCATCTTGAAAGCTGTAATCTTTGATATTAGGTCCTCTAGCAGAGAATATTGCTACTTGTGGTGCAGATCTATGGAGTATAGGCCTCAGCCCATCGCCTATACTTCCTACAGCCTCGAACCTCTTCACTCGACCGGTCCAATCTCTAGGTGTCGAGGCGTTGTAGTAATCTATAAGGTCCTAAAACATGATGTATATATGATTTCGAAGTTAGTATTAACTTTGGAGGAGAAAGAAAGAAAAAAAAAAAAAAAAAAAAAAAAAAAAGAAAAAAGGGAAAAGAATAGTTACCGTTGATTTGATACAATCGGTGATGAGGATTCCTGGAATACCAACAGGAACGGGATCGAATTTAGTTCCCGGAGAAGCGGTTTCAACGGCTAGTACAAATCCAACGGCACCAAGAGCCTTTGCAGTCTCGGATACTTTCTTGATCGAAGCAGTGCCAACTACAAAATTGAATGAATAACCGCAGAGAAGAATATTCCCCTGCACAAGATTCTTGTTCAGAACTTCGGGCCTTTGGCAGTCAGATGGACTGTACTTGGCCACCGATGAATCCAACAGCACGTCATTAGCCGCAACCAATGTGAACGTTCGATTCGCATGCGTGGCAGCTACAAAGAGAGTTTCGAAGTTTATCAATCTGCTAGTTCCAAAACTCAAAATGCCTTTTGTAAAGATTCGATTTTTTTTATTTTTTTTACGCGAAGAACTTACGAGACAATCCGAGTCCAGCTAAGATTTTTCCGTTCCCCAAGGTGAGATGATTCTTGTATCTCCGATCATCAACTGCAGCAGCTACGGTAGCTATCCATGGACTGTACGAGAGCATGGTTTTGGGGAAAGGACCTCCATTTCCAGCTGCTTGTGCAACAAAGACTCCGGCTTTAACAGCCGAGAGAAGAGTAATATCGAAAGGGTTCAAATACGTCGTCTTTGTAGCAGCTGGAGGACTATTGGGTCCCACCGAAAGATTCAAAATATCCACACCATCATGAACAGCCTGTTATAATATACTATGTGTATCATATAACTATGATGAATGAAGTAATATAAAGACTCGATTTTTACACTTCAGAATATATACCTGATCGATGGCAGCAACAACATCTGCAACAAACCCACCGAACATTCTGTAGAGCGCCTTGTACACAGCGATCCTATACAAAGACAAAGATACCCTCCACTGTTGAAACAAATGGCAATCTATTTGAAAAAAAATGACATGCGAAAAGGTTTGTAGTAGAATTGTAGTACCTCGCGCGTGGTGCCATTCCACTAGCTCTCCCAAATTCAAATCCGTGCATCCTTACCGGAATCCCGTTATTACCAGCTGCAATCGCTGCTGTATGACTGAGAAAAAAAATTAAATTTTTATTTAAAAATTAAAAAAAAAAAAAAAAAAAGAACCTTCCATGCAACGGTAACTGAAACAAACCTTCCATGTCCATCACCGTCAAGCGGAGAATCGAAATCAATGTCCGGATTAAATGAACCGGCGATTTTAGCAGCTTCCGCAAAATGTTGAGCTCCGATAATCTTCCCATTACAGAAGTTCCTCTTTGTGATGGGGTCCACCTCACATTTGCCAGTGTACTTTGGAACAGGTCCGTAAGGATCGGTATTATGTGTTGCAAAGCTCGGATGATGAGGGTATATTCCGGAATCAACAAACCCTATTACTATATCCTCTCCAGCTCGATCGAACCCCCCTCCAGTGGGCCATACTCCAGTTGGAAGCCCAAGAAACTGTGGAGTGTGTGTTGTGAGTTTCTTGACTTTCCAATCTCTCTCCACAGACTTCACTCCGGGTGCTCGTCCAAGTATTTCCGCCTACTAATATATATTTTCACAGTATAAGAAATACGTGTGTCGAAGATCGTTTTTTTTTTTTTTTTGAATTTTCGGACAGAAAATGTAAAGATTATATAAGAAAAGAATGCCACCTGCTGGGGTGAAATGTGGACTGCAAATCCATTGATCAAATGACGGTAGCTATAGAGTTTCGTGTAGGTTCCTTGGTCAAACAGCATATCAAGAAGCATATCGTGCCTCTTCTCTAAGTGTCGAGCATACGATATGACCAATTCACTGAAATGAGAACCAACCACACATTAATATTACTAAGGCCGTGTTTGGCCTCAATAAGTCTGAACGGTTAGGCTGTTCGTAGCTACAGGA